CTGTATTTTCCCTTTTTCGTTTAATAAATTGGGTAATACGAGTGTAATGGTGACTAAAGGGTGTTTTTTCATGTCCTCTATGCTCTAACTACAAAAATATTTTATTTACAAATAAGGAATCCTACTTCGCGGAATATCATTTATCACAGTAGGGTCTAGAACCGATTAACCGTGATAAACGAGGGTTCACTGTATTTATTAAAGGAGATGAAAATTATACCAACGAGCCAATGACTCACCTACTCTATTAGCAGCACTTGTTAAAGGCATATGACAAGCTAGCCATGTGGCAACGAGAGATTAATCTACATGGTTCTGTCTGCTGCTTATATCACCTCTACTTAGAACAGCGGTTCTCAACCTGTGGGTCACAATCCCTTTGGAGGTCGAACAACCCTTTCACAGGGGTCACCCAATTCACAACAGTAGCAAAATGACAGTTATGAAGTGGCAATGAAAATAATTTTATGGTTGGGGGGGTGGTCGCCACAACATGAGGAACTGTATTAAACGGCATAGGAAAGTTGAGAGCCACTGGCTTAGAAATTTCTAGTCCTTTACAAAGAGTCCTGATATATTCTTTGAATCTGCAAATCATTTTCAAGGAATCTCTCCACAGCACTTCATAAATCTGGAAAACGTTTTAAGCACAAAGCTAGTCAGATTTTTAGAAAAAGAAAGCCGCAAACAGAAAACTCCCTCTAAGGACAACACAGAGAATGTAAGGGCTGCACAAGGAGAGTCAGAAGGGATTTACCTGCAGCCCTTGAAGATGTTTCTGACGAATTCAGTATACATGCTCAGAACCTGAGAAGAGAAATGGGGCCTAAAACTGCCTTATCTAGTGTCACGGGCAAAACAACCGTGGAAGGAAAAATCATGATGTCATTCCAGCTCACCTGGTGCCTGCTGTCTTTACAATTCATGTTATTTCCCCAATGTTCTGCACCAGGCATTTGTTAACTTTTCATGAAACCCGATTGATCTAAAAGCAACCCAATGATTCTAGGTCAAGCACTACTTTGTACACAAACACACTGAGTATGATTTTATGCTTCATCCCTTCAGCTGTAGCAGTGTATCACTGCATCTCTGAGTCTACCACTAGCCGGCCAGCTGACCTCAAACAAGTCAATGACCTTCATTTGCATCTGAGGTCAAGTGATAAAATAGAACCTGCTGGGGCCCAAGCACTCACTGCAGCCAGGATGGGGAGATATGAGCACACATCAGCCTGCCAGTCCAGGAGATTCCCACTGTCTGCTCAGCACACACCCAGCTGCCACCTGGCTTCGTTACTGTCTCCCCCAGCATAGACGAGCAGCCTTCACAATCCTGTCCACTGCCTGTTCCCACACAGTAGCAACAGCTCTTCCTAAACCACACTGAGAGGCCAAGGCCTGAGTGCCCACCAGCCTCGAAGAAGGCCCTGCCACTCAAACTGTATCCTTGGACCACCATTTCCTCTTGAACCAAACTCACTGCCATCAAGTTGATTCCAACTCATGGTGACCCTACAGGACAGGGTAGAACTGCCCTGGTGGATATGCAAGGCTGTAAATCTTTATGGGAGTAGAAAGCTTCATCTTCCTCCCAAGGAGCTGCTGATAGTTTCAAACTGCTGACCTCGCAGTTAGCAGCCCAATAGCCTTGTGCTTCCCCTACTATTCCACCAGGGCTCTAGAGCTTATGAGAACTGCAAGTTCTAGAGAGCCTGGTGCAATAGTGCAGCCTAAGAGTCTGCATTCAATAGGATCCCAGGGGATCTGTGTGCCCAATAGAGCTAAGTAACACTGGGGACAACTCAGGAATTCAAAACTGATCCTGGCCAACTTCTCCCTTGCTCCTTACAAAACCTTTAAGCTACTGCTCCCCGGCCTAGCCCTACCTTTGCTCCATTCCCTCCAAACCCTTCCACTGTGCCCTCCGAGATGCCCCAGTCCCCTCTCAATGAAGGAGCTCTGTACTTCTTTTTCTGACCAAAATCTGATGGGCCCCTTGGAGCAAGCCTTCCCTGTAGACAGGTGGGTGTACCCAGTGAAGCTGCCCCTCAGCTACTGTGCCCAATTTCCACCTAGTCTCTGCTGGAGCCCTGGTGGTGTAGTGGTCAAGTTGGGCCGCTAACTGCAAGGTCAGCAATTCAAAAACACCAGCTGCTCAATCGGAGAAAGTGAGGACTTTCTACTCCCATAAAGAGTTACATGTAGTCTGTGACGCTCTACCCTGTCCTCTAAGAGGGTCGCTGTCTACGTGTCAGCTGCGACTCAATGTTAGTGAATTTGAGCGTTGTTTGGTCTTCTGCCAGGTACTAGACTTTAAGCCTCTCTTATAAAAACTTGTCCATTGTCTGGCCCCCTGCTAGTAACGTCAGCACTCACCAGTCACCCACCTGACATGAGAGGCTCTTTGCTTGGTTGTCTTTGTCCAGTGACTCATCCTACTCATTTACTTCCAGTCACAGCCTGGGCCTTGTCACACATGGAAAACACTTTCCCCCGGCCCCTAGATTTCTGCCTCTCTGTGGGGAAGCTCTTCTCTGGCCTCAGCCCCACTCCATCCTGAGCACTAGGGCTGGTTCATTGCTGAGGAGGGGGAGCAGATGACCCTCTGTCTCAATGTGTCTGTGTCCCAGGGAGCCACCTTAGACTTGGGGGCAGATGGGTGGAAGTCTCTGTCAGGCCTTGACTCCCCCACCCATGCTCCAACACTGGGATTGCACTCTGCCCTGGGTGCTATTAATGACACCAGTTTCCAGTCAAACACATTTGCTTCCTCTTAGGCCACAGTTCCTCAGCAGCTCTCCCTTAAACAGGAAAGCCTGAAGACGACCTAGAAACCACTAAGCCACACATCCCATGCTGTCATCTCAATTGGATGCTTCCTGCTGGATCGCGTGGCTATTCCCCCGCTGCCTAGTCACTCCACTCAGCAGACCCTATTTTTATGTCCTTGTCCAGTGTTTTTCTGACAGCCTGACAGTGTTTCCTAAATGCCCCTGCCTCACTGTCCTTGTCACATTCATTCAAGAAAGGCCCAAGTCAGTACACATCCAACCATCTGTTTCCCCAACCCTGGGACCTGAACTGCTGGAAATCACACCTCAAGACAGACCAAGGCCATTGTAATTCACTGATCTTCTGTCTTGCCTGGTGGACTCAGCTTCCTTAAGCAGGTTGATCTCCCAAGTGCCTCCACAACTAGTTTAGACCCTTCTCTCCTCTCAGACATTTGATCCTCAATCTAGCCCCTCTTAAGTATGCCTCCTACGTCACATAAAACACAAACCGTTGGCAACAGGGCCCTCTTACAACAGGGCAAATGTACTATAGATCCGCACCCTGCCCCCTCTTCTGCTGACACCCCTGGGAGTCCCCTGCACACCCACCTTGCCAATACCAGTCTCTTCCAAGAGTCTGTAAGTGGCATGAGGGCCAAGTCCCAGACCCTGACTTGGCACCTCCCGAACAGCAGATGGGAACCAGCAGGCGGTTCCAAGTGAACTTGTCTTCTCGGGCCCATTTCATGGCCCCATCTTCTCATGTGACAACTTGGAAACCAAACCAAACTCAACTCAAAGTCTTTCGTTCCAGGTCTGAATCATGCAGTATATTACAGAGGCATTAAGAGGTCTCACGGAGCATCTGTCTGCTTTAGACATGACTCTCGACAGTGTCTTAGAGCTTCCAGCTCAGTGCACAGTGCTGACATCGTGTGGTGCCTTTCATGTGACGCTAGGTATCCGTGGTAATGCGAGGGGAAGCCCATTTCTATAGTACCAGAGAAAGACCCTCTCCAATCTACCCAACTGGCCCTCCTCCCATCAACCTCCAAGTGCCAACAGGCCTGCTGCCCCACTGTTGCTGCTGGAACCCCACTGGCAGAATGCCTACCTTAGGATGGGCTCGAGATCGGGATGTCGCCGCTCTTCCCTTTTCAAAGAGCCCTGGTTTAGCGCTCTTAGGATGGTCTTGTCAAAGGTTTCTGAAGACAATTCCTTTGGAAGCTAGAAAAGGTTAGGATACACATACACACATCAAGCTATGCTCAAAGTTAAGTTTTGTATTTAGTACTAAACATGCTACACGCCAGGACAACATGAGGGTAATAAGCATCTCCTGCCTGCATCAATCACCCAAAGCAGTTTCTTTTCCAGACATTCCTGCCCAGCCCAGGGCCCCACCCTGGAGAAGTACAGATGCTTCTCCACCAGGAAGTTTGCCCTTTGCCTCCTGTGTACCTTGAGACCCCCGAGGAGCAGAGTAACCCCTCAGAGACAGACAGGGAGGGGAAGTCTGTCTGAACAGCCCACTCCGACAGTCTCCCAATCAGTCTGAATATTTACCATGGCAGTGCCACCCATCACAACACTAGGCAGAACACTAACCCAGAATAAATACTTGCAACTTATTTATTTTCAGGTGCATTTTTATCTGCCAATTTCAGTCCTAGAGGAGGGTCTGTCTGTGAAAGGCCCAGCTCTACACCCAGTCTTCCACATTCTGGGGACCTGTTTGGAATCTCCCTTCCTCTCAACTCTCCCTCTCTGAACACCTGGCCTCTGCACACCTCAGGGGCTGGTTCAGCCTCTGCATGAGCTCCTAGCACAGACTGGTACCCACACATGGCTGGCACCTACATTTGTTTAATTATACACACCGAAGCCTCATGGGAATTATCTACAAAAGCCCAGTCCAATTCAGGATCTGTAACCTGCTCTTCTGTCTTTGCTATGTGGCTGTAGCAGTGAAGAAGACACAAGCCCCACCCTCAGAACCGGATCCGGGTGTGTCGGAGCAGCTGCTAAAAATAAAAAGGAAATGGGGGGAATGGGCCGAGACTGTAATTTAAATGGAAGTGGGGGAGCAGGAATGAAAGCCTGGACCCCAAACTTAGGCATTTTTTCATATTATGGTAAACAAGAGGTACAATAGTGCTGCAAGGTAAAGGCCTCTAATTTCCACAGGTGGTCAGAGGGCAATGCTCGTGTTTCTACCAGGCCAATTTTGAAAGGAAAGTAAACGGTGTCAACCGTGAACTTGACAGGCTCGTTGGGGTACAGCAGGTCAGTGGTCTGGTTAAGCACACCATGTGATAAAATGATGTCACAGGACCTGAGAAGTCACAATTCTACTTTAGAAAAATACTTACAATCAAATGTTGGTTCAATGGGGATCATTAATGATGATCATTTTGAGACATGAATTACCTATTTGAGGATTTTCTTTGTAAGCATTTAAGCTAAGTTCTATGTGCTACTCCAAGTTCTGCAAGTTGATAAAATCTCTTTCAGCTTAATGACTGGATAGACACACATGATCAAACAGGAATACAGTGCTGGGGTGATAAGCTGACAATTTAAAAACGAGCACTTTCCTGGGACATTCAGATTCTGGGCTCAGCTTGAGTTGGGAACGATTCCCATTTCTGGACTGTCTGTTTTACCTCCCTTGCCTACTGAGAAATAATATATTTACTTCTACCTATATGCCTCTGAATAAAATTAGTATACGAAATAGAAAGGCTGAACAAAATGATCTAAATTATTATTCATCCCTGCAAGTTCCCATCATTGTCTTATTCTCAATAGTCTGCAGGGAGGGAGCGGTGAGCCCACAAAGGAGGCTGTCAGTGGAGGCTGAAGAGCTGGTAGGTCTGGGAGCCAGTACCCAATGATCACAGGGCTCATTTCACCACACAGATGCTTTTTTGCCTAAACTCCCCTTGAAGGGGCCCCAGTCATGCTCACCTTAGCAAGAAACTAGGAAAGGCTCAAATTTTAAAGCCTTTCACCACTGGCAATTTAAGGTAATAAAATGTGTGTTTAAAATAGCACGACACTTGCTACAGCTAATGTTCATGGAGCATTCTAAGCAATCTCATTTACAGATGTTTGTTTTCATTTTCCTGCTGGTTTGTTTTGGCATGGGATGCTAATGTATCATGTCAAAACCACTTTAACAGTAAAATCCGTACATTTACCTTCAGTAGGAATTCTTGTAGTTCTTGCTGGGTTTTTGTTACTGTTGTTACTGAAAGATCAGACCAATTTACCTAATTAAAAAACACACACACAGAAACACGATATGGTTATTCCTGAGGCAAGCGTTAGCTGGAGGAAAAGTCCTGCAAAAATAAAGGGCCTCACCTTAACCTTTACTAACAATTAGAAGTTATAATAAAAGTTAATCTGGCATTGTCATGATTTCTTCAAAAATGTTAAAATTAACTATTGACATATTCTAGTCATTCTCTTCAAGTTTTTTTTTAAAGCAGTATTAAAATAAGGTGACTAAGTTTTAGCAATATTTGAGAAGAGGAAATGTCACATTCCTTTTTGGCAAAGTTGCAGGATTTCAAAATGAACCTCAGTCTACAAGTGCAGACCTCTGTCCAAGAAAAGACAAAGTCTTATCTTTTGGGAGTCCACTGTATCCACACCCATAGGAGAAAGAGGAGCATTTCCTGACCCTCTGACAGAACCACACCCTCTTCCATGGGGACTTGTGGTTGATAAGAGATTTCATCTTTATCTAAAAACTTTACAATCCTCCTAAGGGGAGTGAGGCAGGTATGACCCATAGCCCCCACTTGCAGAAGGGGACTTTAGTGAAATGCAGCCCAACCGAGTGTGAGAGCCAGTGCTGAAACGGACCACATCCCCAGTTCTGGGAGCTCCTTTTCCATTCAGTGGGCTTACTTGTAGCCCACTAGCAAGTTCTTCCCTACAAATAACACCTGAGATATGCCATCATCTACATCGTTATCCACTACTCACATTATAATGACATACTTTAAAATACACTGAAATTATCTCACAACAAAAATCTGTGAAGTGGCTTTCAGTCCTGTTGATAGGCAGGGAGCACTGTTCTTGGTGGAGGGAGGGGCCAGAGCAGACGGCTCAGCTGCCAAGCCTGAGCCTAGTGTAGGAGACAAGAAAGCAAGCCCAAACCAAAGCCCTTTAACCAGTGCCGTCGCAGAGCACACGGAGAGCATTGTACCAGAGCAGAGAATCCCACTCACCCTGTGGGGAGAGAACCTGTAAGCTGTGGCACCTGGAGGGGTGCTTGGGAATAAGTGCAGAGCAGAGGGGCTGGGATCCCATGTGGCCAAGCTGCAGGCCAGGCACATGGAGAGGCCATTTCTCCCACTAGGCAGAAGTCATCCAATAAATGTCCTAAGTAGCTCAGATATGGTGGGATGGCCCACAGATGTAAAGTCCTGCTTTCCACAAGATGAGAAGCACCTGGAAAGGTGACATTTGAATGACCGAGAAGACACTCTATTGGCAGGTCAGGAATGAGCCCATGAGAGAAACGCGTCTCCCGCAGGTGTTCCTCACTACCTCAGAGTGCCTGCAGTCCAGCTGTTGAGGGAAAGGCCACAACGGGGAGCTGATGTCCATGCAGGGAAGAATGAGGGCCATGTACTGAGTAATCCCATGGCAGCCAACAGGCAATAAAGAGGTGTTGCAGGCCATAGCCTGGGAGGAACATGATCAGAACTGGGCTGGCACGAGAGCAGCGATGGAGAAAAAGTCAAGTGACAAAAGGCCAGGGAATAAACATGTCACAGAGAAAAGGGGAGGAGAGAGAACAAAGCCAGGAAAGAATGTGCCTGCAACCAGGATTAAAGCACTGGAGAAGATGCCAGCCCCTCCCCTCTGCAGGTACACCTGACACCAGAAAGGACTCCCAAAATCTAAGGCTGCTTGGCGGTTTTGTTGTTCTTTATCAAGATTTTCAAAGTAATTTTATAGGGATAAAATTAAAGAGTTTTTAACATGGCAAACCATGCTAAATACACTAAAAATAGTTCTTCCCTTAATTACAGAGAATATACAGACCTATCTTCTACTTATCTAGTTAGTGTTCTTAAGTTCACAAATCAGCCATATGTTTTCCAAAAGATTGATTTTCATTCTCTCCCAAGCTCATTGGTCTGGGATGGGAGCCAGCAGCTTACCTTGAAGGTATACTCCCAGTACTTGTCAGCCCTTTTACTCTGGACCCCCGTTAGCAGGATCTTCTCGATGTGTACAGCTGAAATGAAAAAAAGCACATGTAACTTTCCTTTCAGCATCTAGAGAAAACTTCCAGTTACCGAGAGCAGCCCTATAATTTGGCAAATACGTAATAATTAAGCTATTGACCTGGTCTTTACCACTGGCCTTCAGTCATGACATAAGTACACGGGAGCGGGGCTCCCTCCAGCAGGGAAACAATGTTTGCTCTATCTGTCTACCAGGCTGAGGGACTGGGTAGTTTTGAGTGCCCTGCTCAGCTCTAGACACTGAAAAGATATATACAAGGGGGCTTAGAAACACTCACGGGAAAATTCAATTCTCTTTTAAATCCCAAATTCCATGAACTTCTTGAAACCACAGTGTATAATAAATGCTAGCATTAAGGTTTTATTTCTGAATGATATCAATAGTAACTCATTTTAGGATGAACTAAACTTGGTGATGCTGCCGGGCAAGCACTGGACTGCTAACAAGGTTGGCAGTTCAAATCCACCATTGGTCTGCAGCAGAGCAATGAGGTGGTCTGCTCCCATAAAGATTTACAGACTTAGAAACCCTATACAAGGTTGCTATGAGCCAGTAGGTTTTGGTGGGGTAAATATGGTTCATTCAGCTAACTATAGATTGATAGACGAAAAAAAATTACTCAAAAGTAATATCCCAAACTAGTAACAATTGCTGTCAAACCAGGAATTAAAAAAATCTGTTTTCTCAAACGTGATCTTTAATACAACATATTGTGCTGAACTCTGAAGGTTATAGAAATTTCAACTAATCATAAAACTAAAACAGTGATAGGTGACGGTCATGACTTAAACACAGTAACTCAGAATAGTGATAAAAATAGCAGCTTATTCACGAAGTGAACGTCCAAAAAAATGTGAACACAGCAAGAAAAGAACATACACATTTTACAAACTGGACCCTTCAGTGGAAGTGTGAACTTAGAAGGAAAGACTGCTGCTCAGACATGGTGTGCACAGCAGCAGCACGACTGCTGGGAGACCAAGGGGTCAAGAGGTTGGTGACAGGGGTAGGACAAAGGTCACAGAAGGAGGAGCATGCCTGGACAGAACAGGGGAGCAGGACACAGGGAGAAAAGAGAAGGATGTGTTTGGTCCTAAAGGGAAAAGTTAGAGCAGATGACGCAGAACATAGAGTTACAGGCGTGGTGGAGGACACTGTTTCAGGCCAGGGAGGCGGCCAGGGAGGGAAGGGCAGCGTGAGGCACAGACCTTTCAGAGAAGCAGAGGCTCCTGACACCCTGAGGCAACATCATTCAAATATATACCGGGAGCTTCAGAAAGTTTATGGAAAAGTTATCGTTGAATTCTCTTTTTCCATGAACTTCTTTGAACTCCATAGTAATGTGTTTGATGGCCTGCTTCTGGGTCCATTTTCCCTTAATGAGGCAGAAGCCCAATGCTAAGGGGAAGCGCAACGCCAGGTGAGAGGCCAAGAATACTGTAGAAAGGCCAAGTCTGCAGCTTGCAAAGTTTTTGCTAGAACATTGTCAAAAGGAAGATACCACCAGCTAATGCAGAAATAAAGGAGCCCTACTCTGCAAACCAGAGGGCCAAGGGTGAAGGGCTCCCTTGTTGGGGCAGATCCGAGTGTGTCTTAGCAGATACAGGCATGATGGCTTTACAGAGTCCAAGGGCACGGCTACACCTGCAGCCTCCATGGCACCACCCCACACCCTAGCTGCTGTCAGAATCAAGAGAAGAGCTGTCTGGGGTGAGGAATGGATGATAATGGGATTAAAGTTAAATGAAAATTTGAAAGTATAAAGGAATATAATAAAAGTCAACTATACTTCCTTTGCACAGGTCACCGTTTCACAAAAATACTTCCAGTCAAAAAATCCAGCCCTTCACCCTGAGGTCACCCCAGCTTCAGGCTTGTCGACACTCAGGACTACGGTGGCTTGGCTGGAATGAGGAGGAGATGGCAGGGAAGACTCCAGAAGTAATAATTAATTATGTAAAGGCTTTAAAACATTAAGCATCATATTGGTTTTTCCTTTATGAGGAAAAGGTATAAAATGTAAAATGCTAAAAAGATCCCGGGGACTGAAAAGAGTTATTAAACACACACAGCCTATTGCCACGGAGGAGTTGATTCTAGTGCACAGTTACCCTACAGTGCACAGTCAAGCTGCCTCACAGGGGTGTAAGGCCGGTAGGTACAGTGGTCAAGAGTGCTAGACGGGTTCAAACCAGCAGTCAGTATATGGGACAGGGACGTGGCAGGTTGCTTCCAGAAAGACATAGAGCTTTGAAAGAACATCTGGGGTAGTTCTACTCTGCCCTGTGGCATTGACTCAACAGTGGTGGGCTTGGTTTTAATCTTTACAGACACAGACTATCATGTCCTTGTTCCTCAAAGGTGATAATGACAAATTCACAACTATTCCAGCTGAGCAGGATGTACCAGGCTTCTGATAGCGCATACTTCCTGTTCTTACCTTCCCGTGCACACGGATCCAGAGGGAAGGTTATCAGAACTCTGGACCTATTAGATGACCATGCCCTTCCAGCCCCACCCCTCTCACAGCGAACCCCTGTAACAGTGCACTACAGACACAGCACAGCAGACACTGCATGCTTTGCAAACAGCCCTCGTCAACCAAAATCACCGAGCTGGTTTCAGAGAGAGCCACAAAGTCATGGACAGACCAAGCAGAACCTGGGGGTGGGGGCACAGCGGAACTAGAAGGGTAGAAGGGCCAGGAGGTTTCCTCCACTCCCACAGGCAACAGAGCTGTCAATATAAAACTATTCCCAGACCTTTGCATCTGTTGACACTTTACGATGCATACCTTCTCGCTGGGCTCTGTGAGGTGCCAGAGGAAGTCCGTCGTGAGGGATGGGGGCTTCTTCTAGTAAACCACTCTTGTTACTGTGTGTGCAATCCCCAGGAGCAGGATCGTTCTAGAGGACAAAGAGGGGTGTGTTAATCTATAACACAGACCATGAATGGCAAATGCCAGAAAACAAAACCAAATTAGAAATCTTCTACTATCTTACATTTTCACACAGCAACCATGCTAATAACTAGTCAGTGACCAGATCTGTGGTTACACACTATGGGCCGGAGACCCAGGGCAGAGCAGCCCCGACAGCTTCCGGTCCCAGGGATAGCCTGTTTGTTAGTTCCTGCCCCAGCTTTCTTGGGACATATAAATTAGCATGCTATAATTCTGAGTTGCCAATTGTACACTAAATTGAACCAGAATAGAAAGAACACACCTTTACATGAATGCCCCATATGAAAGGGCAGTTGCATTTTTAAGTCTTATTCGCCATACAATTTGCATGTATTGCTTGGTTTTAGGGAACTTTTAGGCAGGTATTTTGTTAGAGAAAAGATGGTTTCACAAAAGGTATTATCGGAACACACCAAATCTTTTTCTGAACCAAGAATGCGTGGGCACCGGGTATCCTATTGATACATCATCTAATATCAACGGGGAACTCTAAAGCTCAACCACTAGTAAACTGGAGCCAGGCTGACTCCTAGGAGATGGGCTGCTTGGGATGACGAACAGCAGGTGTGATCACCTGGAGAAGGCACCCCCTGTTGCAGTCACTTTGGCACACTGGTGAGGGAGGAGATGAAGCCATGTGCTCCAGGAATGATTTACAGTGTGGAAACCTTATACGGGGTCACTGTGGCAGTATTTTTTTTTTTCCACTGACACATTCTTAGGCCCAAAACGCAGCTCTTTATTAGTTCTCTTACCACAGTGCCTAACCTTACCCCCACCCCATTCATGTGCAGAAGCTCAAACACTACTCACACCAAAGTTGCCTATTTGAGCCTTTTACAATTTTACAAATCTGCGATGAATAATATACATTGAATTTTAAAAATGTATGTGTGAGAAGGCGAGGCAACGGTCCCCAAATCCCAAGTATATCACTGAACACACTTGGTTCTGTTTCTAAGCACTCGGACTGCCCGAGGAGGAGTGCCAGTGAACCACCAGATTTCTGGGGGTTCTGGAGGGCTCCACCCCAGCCATAGTTTGTCTGACTTTCCCTGATGCCCCAGGAAAAAACCACCTGAAGAGGAATGCAGGGCCCTTAAGGGCAGTTACCAAGTCTCAATACTGATCAAAGATGTGGGTAAAAAGAATCCATCCACACTGCAACAAAATCGTGTATCCTACCCCAGACCTCAGCGACACCGACTGCAAAGGAATAAACAATAGCACACTTGCTTAAGCAAGACTTTACTTCTCAGACATACACTCTGCTGGTTCAGAATGAGGCAGCTTCAAAAAGTCTGCGGAAAATGTCCATTATACTTTTATTCGATTTTTCCAAAACCCTCTTGATGTCCCCTCGTACGTACAAAATCAGTACCGCTAGACTAATGAGAGAGAATAGATGCAAAAACCAAAAATCAGGAAAGAAACACTGAACTTAATTTCGCTTAGCATATTTAAATACAGACTCTACAGATTAAAAAAAAAAAAGGATTATAAGGGAATGTTATGAACAACTTGTAAGCCAACAAATTAGACAATCTAAACAAAATGGGCAAATGCCCACAACCACATTTACCTAAAGCAGTGGTTCTCAACCTGTGGGTTGCAACCCCTTTGGGGGTCGATGACCCTTTCACAGGGGTCTCTCCTCATTCATAACAGTAGCAAAATGACAGTTATGAAGTAGCAACAAAAATAATTTTATGGTTGGGGGGGTCACAACATGAGGAACTGTATTAAAGGGTCGCAGCATTAGGAAGGTTGAGAACCACTGCCTAAGGGGATTAAAAAAGAAATCAGAAATCTCAGCCAACCTGTAACAACAAGAACCAGCATCAAAAACCTCCCCACAAATAAAAGTCCAACCCAGACACCATTTACACTCATTGTATTTGAAAACATGCTAAGCAAAATTAAGTCAGACATAAAAGGACATGTATTATATCAGTCCATTTATAAGAAATAACCCTATGAGGCTAAAGTTAATTCTTGCTTACCAGGGACTGAAGCAAAGGGGGTGGGTAAATATTGCTAAAGACTGAAGTGACTTTAAGAACGCAGTTTAACATGCAAGTTTAATAAGCCAAGGAGGGAGGTGGGTTTCAGTTCGTACCTGAGAATGAAATTTGTCAACCCTCATGAACTCACTCGACCTTGCAACTGAGCCCAGAGCATGTATCAACGCTATCAAATCACTGGCCTAAGCTCTGAAGAAGCAACTCCACAGCTGGCCCATGAGGCCTGGTCACTGGCCGACAGAAAGTAAGTGCAGAGCAATGTGCTCACGGGGATTCTCGTAGGCTACTTACTCTGAGGAGGGCAAAGGTGTAGAAAACCTGAGCACTGCTGGCTTCATGGACGCTCAAAGTGAGAATTACACCCCATTTCTGTACTAAGTGTCAGGATCAAAGGAACTTTCCTCTGTTTGGATGAGAAAGAAAGCTTAAACTACACAGCCTGAAGACCCGTGCCCAGGAACACGGGCATCAGTCCTGGGTTCCACACTACTCCTGCTTATCTCAGGTCAGGCCTTTTCTGTGCTGGCGCGTGCCTCCTCTGAGAGTTTCTGACTCGTGGAAGCCTATGCATCGTGGGGATCCAGGCACTGCCTTATCCTCCAAAATATCAAAACAGTTGCAAAACCAAAAATAAAACCAGTTTCTTGATTCTTTTTTTTTTACTAAACTTAATAACTTCTTTAGATGTGTTTACACTTACGTTTCTTACCTGACTAATA